TATAGTGGACCACAAGCTAAATATGAGTCAACAGTGTGATGCTGTTGCAAAAAAAGCAAACATGATTCTGGGATGTATTAACAGGTGTGCTGTGAGCAAGACACGAGAAGTCATTCTTCCGCTCTACTCTGCTCTGGTTAGGCCTCAGTTGGAGTATTGCGTGCAGTTCTGGGCACCGCATTTCAAGAAAGATGTGGAGAAATTGGAAAGGGTCCAGAGAAGAGCAACAAGAATGATTAAAGGTCTTGAGAACATGACCTATGAAGGAAGGCTGAAAGAATTGGGTTTGTTTAGTTTGGAAAAGAGAAGACTGAGAGGGGACATGATAGCAGTTTTCAGGTATCTAAAAAGGTGTCATAAGGAGGAGGGAGAAAACTTGTTCACCTTAGCCTCTAAGGATAGAACAAGAAGCAATGGGCTTAAACTGCAGCAAGGGAGGTCTAGGTTGGACATTAGGAAAAAGTTCCTAACTGTCAGGGTGGTTAAACACTGGAATAAATTGCCTAGGGAGGTTGTGGAATCTCCATCTCTGGAGATATTTAAGAGTAGGTTAGATAAATGTCTATCAGGGATGGTCTAGACAGTATTTGGTCCTGCCATGCGGGCAGGGGACTGGACTCGATGACCTCTCGAGGTCCCTTCCAGTCCTAGAATCTATGAATCTATGAAATCTGAGCCATTCTTTTTAGGTGACAAATCTGAGGAACTGTCCCAGATTGAGGTGTCATTAGAGGAGCTTTTGGAACAAATTGATCAACTAAACAGTAATAAGTCACCAGGACCAGATAGTATTCACCCGAGAGTTCTAAAGGAACTCAAATGTGAAATTGCAGAACTACTAACTGTAGTCTGTAACCTATCATTTAAATCAGCTTCTGTACCAGATGAATGGAGGATAGCTAATGTGATGCCAATTTTTAATAAAGGCTCCAGAGGTGATCCTGGCAATTATAGGCTGGTAAGCCTGACTTCAGTACTGGGCAAACTGGTTGAAACTATAGTAAAGAACAAAATTGTCAGACCCATAATTTGTTGGGGAAAAGTCAACATGGTTTTTGTTAAGGGAAATCATGCCTCACCAATCTACTAGAATTCTTTGAGGGGAGTCAACAAGCATGTGGAAAAGGGGGATCCAGTGGAAATAGTGTACTTAGACTTTCAGAAAGCCTTTGAGAAGGTCCCTTACCAAAGGCTCTTAAGCTGTCATGGGATAAGAGGGAAGGTCCTCTCATGGATTGGTAACTGGTTAAAAGATAGGAAAAACAAGGGGTAGGAATAAATGGTCAGTTTTCAGAATGGAGAGTGGTAAATAGTGGTGTCCCCCAGGGGTCTGTACTGGGACCAGTCCTATTCAACATATTCATAAATCATCTGGAAAAAGGAATAAACAGTGAGGTAGGAAAATTTGCAGATGATACAAAACTACTCAAGATAGTTAAGTCCCAGGCAGACCGTGAAGAACTACAAAAGTCTCTCTCAAAACTGTGTGACTGGGCAACAAAATGGCAGATGAAATTCAATGTTGATAAATGCAAAGTAATGCACATTGGAAAACATAATCCCAACTATACATATAAAATGATGGGGTCTAAATCAGCTGTTACCACTCAAGAAAGAGATCTTGGAGTCAATGGGGATAGTTCTCTGAAAACATCCACTCAATGTACAGCGGCAGTCAAAAAAGTGAACAGAATGTTGGGAATCATTAAGAAAGGGATAGATAATAAGACAGAAAATATAATATTGCCTCTATATAAATCCATGATACGCCCACATCTTGAATACTGTGTGCAGATGTGGTCACCACATCTCAAAAAACATATATTGGAATTGGAAAAGGTTCAGAAAAGGGCAACAAAAATGATTAGGGGTATGGAACGGCTGCCATATGAGGAAAGATTAGTAAGACTGGGCCTTTTCAGCTTGGAAAAGAGATGACTAAGGGGGGAATATGATAGAGGGCTATAAAATCAGGACTGGTGTGGAGAAAGTAAATAAGGAAGTGTTATTTACTCCTTCTCATAACACAAGAACTAGGGGTCACCAAATGAAATTAATAGGCAGCAGGTTTAAAACAAACAAAAGGAAGTATTTTTTTCACACAACACACAGTCAAACTGTGGATCTCCTTGCGGAACATCCATCCAGCGGATGTTGTGAAGGCCAAGACTATAACAGGATTCAAAAAAGAACTAGATAAGTTCATGGAGGATAGGTCCATCGATGGCTATTAGCCAGGATGGGCAGGGATGGTGTCCCTAGCCTCTGTTTGCCAGAAGCTGGGAATAGGTGACAGGGGATGGATGGCTTGATGATTATGTGTTCTGCTCATTCCCTCTGGGGCACCTGGCAATTGGCCACTGTTGGAAGACAGGATACTGGGCTAGATGGACCTTTGGTCTGACCCAGTATGGCTGTTCTTATGTTCTCGCTAAATATGACTCTGCCACAGGTTAGGTAGTATCACCCTTCAGTGAAAAGTCCCCCCCCCTCGCCCCCCGGAAATAAGAGTTGACTTAAACTCTGTCATTTCAGAGGAACAATTGGTAGCCAGAACGTTACTCCAACCAGCCCATGTCTCCTCTGACACAGGAGCCCATTCCAGGGCCATGGCTGTTACCATGAGAACCGCATCCTGTTTACAGTCCTCAGGGACACCCAAAGAAGTCCAAATGACTACAGAAGCTAGCTCTCTCTCTCTTTCAAAGGGCCTTTGAACTACACCTATTTTTCTTTTCCACCAAAAAAAAGATTTGAACATATTTTAACATTACTGGAAGTACTATCAAAAGCAGGGAATTTATTCCCAGTAAAAGATTCCAATATCTAAAAGGAAAGAAAACAGGGCCAGCCTTAGGGGGTGGGCAGGCTGGGTGACTTCCCAGGGGTGCTGTTCAAAGTGGGGGATGCCTCTGAAGCAGAGTACTCCTTCTTTGCCTGCTGCTCTGCTGCTGTCTGCAGCTGTCTGCCCTCTGCTTTGGAGTTGCCTCTGGCCAAGCTGCTCCCGGGAACCTGCTGTCCGCTGTGCAGAACGGGAGGGGTGGGGCTGTCAGGGTGTCCCCCTGCCTGTGTACCCAGTCTCTGCTGAACTGGGGTGGGGGAACAGGAATCTGCTGCTGCTGCTTCTAGGTTAGGAAGGAGAACCGGGGGAAGGAGACCAAAGCCCTGAGGTAAGTGGGGAAATGGGATCCTGGGAGGAAGCAAGAGCAGGAGAGCGCAAGAGGGGAGGACTCCTGTCTCAGACTGAGAAAGAGGGACGATCAGCGAGTTATCTTAAGTGCCTATACACAAATGCAAGAAGCCTGGGAAACAAGCAGGGAGAACTGGAAGTCCTGGCACAGTCAAGGAACTATGATGTGATTGGAATAACAGAGACTTGGTGGGATAACTCACATGACTGGAGTACTGTCATGGATGGATATAAACTGTTCAGGAAGGACAGGCATGGCAGAAAAGGTGGGGGAGTTGCATTGTATGTAAGAGAGGACTATGACTGCTCAGAGCTCTGGTATGAAACTGCAGAAAAACCTGAGAGTCTCTGGATTAAGCAACAAGGGTGATGTCGTGGTGGGAGTCTGCTATAGACCACCAGACCAGGGGGATGAGGTGGACGAGGCTTTCTTCCGGCAACTAGCAGAAGTTACTAGATTGCAGGCCCTGGTTCTCATGGGAGACTTTAATCACCCTGCTATCTGCTGGGAGAGCAATACAGCAGTGCACAGACAATCCAGGAAGTTTTTGGAAAGTGTAGGCGACAATTTCCTGGTGCAAGTGCTGGAGGAACCAACTAGGGGTAGAGCTCTTCTAGACCTGCTGCTCACAAACCGGGAAGAATTAGTAGGGGAAGCAAAAGTGGATGGGAACCTGGGAGGCAGTGACCATGAGATGGTTGAGTTCAGGATCCTGACACAAGGAAGAGAGGAGAGCAGCAGAATACGGACCCTGGTCTTCAGAAAAGCAGACTTTGACTCCCTCAGGGAACTGATGGGCAGGATCCCCTGGGAGAATAACATGAGGGGGAAAGGAGTCCAGGAGAGCTGGCTGTATTTTAAAGAATCCTTATTGAGGTTGCAGGAAAAAACCATCCCAATGTGTAGAAAGAATAGTAAATATGGCAGGCGACCAGCTTGGCTTAACAGTGAAATCCTTGCTGATCTTAAACGCAAAAAAGAAGCTTACAAGAAGTGGAAGATTGGACAAATGACCAGGGAGGAGTATAAAAATATTGCTCAGGCATGCAGGAGTGAAATCAGGAAGGCCAAATCACACTTGGAGTTGCAGCTAGCAAGAGATGTAAAGAGTAACAAGAAGGGTTTCTTCAGGTATGTTAGCAACAAGAAGAAAGTCAAGGAAAGTGTGGGCCCCTTACTGAATGAGGGAGGCAACGTAGTGACAGAGGCTGTGGAAAAAGCTAATGTACTCAATGCTTTTTTTGCCTCTGTCTTCACAAAGAAGGTCAGCTCCCAGACTGCTGCACTGGGCAGCACAGTATGGGGAGGAGGTGACCAGCCCTCTATGGAGAAAGAAGTGGTTCGGGACTATTTAGAAAAACTGGACGAGCACAAGTCCATGGGGCTGGATGCGCTGTATCCGAGGGTGATAAAGAAGTTGGCGGATGTGATTGCAGAGCCACTGGCCATTATCTTTGAAAACTCATGGTGATCTGGGGAGGTCCCGGATGACTGGAAAAAGGCTAATGTAGCGCCCATCTTTAAAAAAGGGAAGGAGGAGGATCTGGGGAACTACAGGCCAGTCAGCCTATCATAGCTTTAGCCTTAACTATGATAGGGCTACTGTCGCTCCATAACGACTTTATGATGATTCAGCAAAGGCATCTCATGGACTGCTGCATTCTGGGAGAGACAAGTGAATGTATAATCAGTATCAGGCCATTAGACAAAGAAGCACTTCCCCAGTGATTCTCTCTCATTCACTCCTACACAGCGGACAACATGCTGTGAAAGGAAGGTACTTCCCTCAGTGAAATATAAGCAGTTTATTATTACAATACATACAAGAGTATATCCACACATGATAGTTATAGTATTAAATACACTAGAGAAAAATACATAAAGAAAGGGAACTACTTTATTGGAGTGAGAGAACGTTAGTAACCGTTTTTGTACCCCAAAAGGGTATGGGAATTACTGGGAACATAAAGTGAAGGGAGTTCAAGATATCCATGGTAAATTTAGTCTTCCTGAGCTTCAGAGAATGGTCTATTCTTAGTTACCTGCTCCTCTCCAAAGTTTGGATTCAGTGAACACAAACAGATTGAGGCCAATAGAGATGGACAAATCAGCCTGGATATATCTAACAACACAAGCCAGTAGCAGAATAAAGCAGCTTTCTGTAGCTATCCATGATACTGAATATGAGGAATAGTATGTAAAGATAAACTGTGCCTACAGCGTTGTATGGAAACAAATGATGCTGTGTCCCCTGCCTACCATGTGTCTTTGCACAGGCTTGAGAAGTTAAATGGATCAGAATGCCAGACCATTCTTGCTATCTTGCTCAGAGAAAGTGGCACTGTGCCCCATATGGTGAGTGCAGACAGTACTTCTCTAGCATTTGGGGTCCTGCCAAATGCTTGGGAGTGGGGTTGTACCCCAGCTGTTTGTTCCCTACAGGGCCTGTGGATGGGTGGATTGGGCTGTACTCCACTTGGTCAGTGCTGGTGCGTATTCAATGCTGGTGCCTGCTGGTAGGAATTTGATATTGGAAGATTCTGGAGTGCAGATTTACAGATGGTCCCATAGGACTGGGAGTAACTGCCCATCGATGCCTTGGGATCTCCAGCAGCTCCCATATTTGCTGTGACCTGAAACATCTTTTTACTGGACTTCAGAAGAGGGTGCGCATCCCTGCTGGGAAACTGTGGGTTCCTTGGATTCTGTGTAAGAAAGAAGAGCGAAGACAGCTCAGGCATCCTAAATCAACTCTTCATACAGAAACAAGGGGTTTGGGAAATGGAATGGTCTGGGGAGTGGGACAGATTCTGGCTATGCAAAGAAGGAGTAGGGCAAATCCCAGAGTGTGGAGGAGAAGGGGCATAGGGCAGAACTGTCCAGAAGGTGAAGGAGAGAAGGATGTAAAGGAGAAGGGGTGCAGGCTGAGCTCACAACATGGAGAAGACAGTGGGGATCAAACAAGATATGAAGAGTCATAGACTATGATCACAAAACTGAGAGCAGGATTGAGCCTGAGTTTGAAGGGAAAGGCGTACAGCTATAGGTACATTGTGCAGCACCAATCAGCCACTTGAAATGGTGAAAGGCAAATGCCTATACTCACTAGTCTGGTACTGGCTGCTGTCACCCCAACCATCATGGGAGAGTCCTTCCTGGTCAGGTGATTGTGGATAGCAGCTTCCTGTGCCTGACTGGATAGTGAAAACGATCTCTGGTTGGATACGGACTGACCTTGAGAGTCAGGATCTTTTGGCACTTGCTGATCCTGGAGAAGAAAGATATCAGTGACAGGGCTGAGCAGCACTGTCTAGCAGCCCCTGGGACTGGGAGAAGAGGATCAGTATTCTGAAAAAGAAGCTCTTCTCTTGCTATCATCACGAAACAAGTGGAATTTCTTGCCAGGCAGGATTTATTAAGAGAGTACATCTGTGGTTTTCACATCTGGGGTGATCACCTCCATTTACATTTCTTTCTCAGGGCGGCTAACCATTTCTGTACCAGTGCAAGGGAATATGCAGGGGTTAACCCTTCAGAAACTATGTTGCTTCTGTTCAAACTCTCTTCTACTTTTGACAATGAGCACATGCAGAGGTGTTGGACATATATATGCACCAAACACACATTGTGTTAACTAGCACTTGGTATCTAATTCACCAGCAGAAGAGAAGGTTACTCACCTTGTAGTAACTGAGGTTCTTCGAGATGTGTGTCCCTGTGGGTGCTCCACTCCAGGTGATGGTGCACCCTGGTGCCGTTGATCGGAGATCTGTGGTAGCAGTGCCTAGTTGGGACGCACGCGCCCAGCTGTTGTCTCGGGGCATTGTTAGGGTCTGACTGTGCACGTGTGTCCTGCACCCCCTCAGTTCCATCTCTACTGTAGAGTTGTCTGATTCATACGCCAAAGTAGAAGGGAGGAGGGTGGGTAGTGGAGAACCCACAGGGGCACACATCTCAAAGAACCTCAGTTACTGCAAGGCGAGTAACCTTCTCTTCTTCTTCGAGTGCTGTCCCTATGGGTGCTGCACTCCAGGTGAATGTGAAGCAGTACCCACTATGGTTGGTGGGACTTTGGAGTTGCGTCACTGATAACAGTAGACAGTACTGTGTGGCCTACTATGGTGTCTGCTGTAGTGTCCTGTGTGATAGCATAATGTTTGGCAAACATGTGGTCTGATGCCCATGTGGCCGCCTTGCATATGTCGGTAATAGGTACATTTTGCAGGAATGCAACAGATGTTGACATCGCTCTGGTAGAGTGTGTTTTGATGCACTCGGGGGGTTGAGTAATCTGGGTCTGGTAGCAGGACTTAATGCATTCAGATATCAACTTGGAGACTCATTGCTTGGAAATAGCAGCACCCTTCAATCGTTCGGTAGTGGACACGAATAGTCTAGGAGATTTACGGAATGCCTTTGTTCTGTCCAAATAAAAGGCAATTGCACATCTGACATCAAAAGTGTGACCAGATGTCCCGATTTTATAGGGACAGTCCCGATATTTGGGGCTTTTCTTACATGGGTGCCTATTACCCCCCAACCTCTGTCCCGATTTTTCACACTTGCTAGCTGGTCACCCTAGACATCAAGAGTATGTAATGCCACTTCCTGTGGGTTCTTATGAGGTTTGGGGTAGAATGCAGGTAGGTGTATTGGCTGATTGAGATGGAAGATGGACGCCACCTTGGGAAAAAATTTGGGATGGAGTCGCATTGTAACCTTGTCTTTAAAGAAAATTGTGTAGGGAGGATAGGCCATTAGCGCGTTTATTTCCCCTACCCTTCTTGCCGACGTTATGGAGACTAAGAAAGCTACTTTCATGGACATGTGTAGTATGGAGGAGGTAGCCAGTGGTTCAAAGGGAGGTTTCATGAGACCTCGGAGAACTAGGTTCAGATTCCAGGTAGCTGTGGGTAGGTGAATCTTAGGGTAAAGGTTTTGAAGGCCTGTGAGGAAGCATTTTATGGTGGGGTGGGTGAAAACTGAAAACCCGTCCAGCGTGTCATGGAAGGTATTAACTGCCGCGAGGTGTACTCTGAAAGAACTGAGCAATAGTCCGTCTTTTTTTAGTTGTAAGAGGTAGTCCAAGATATCAGGGAGAGGTGCACTGTTGGGGTGGCAAGTTTCTGTTGGAGCACCATATGGAGAACCGTTTCCACTTTTGCAGGTAACTCTTACGAGTGGAGTCTCATCTACTGTGCAGGAGGACATGTTGGACCTGCTCCGAACAAGCTAGTTCGTGGATTTGGAACCATGAAGGAACCAAGCCGTCAGATGGAGCTTCTGCAGTTGTGGATGGAGAATCTGACCGTTGCCCTGGGAGAGCAGATCCGGTCTGTTGGGAAGAATTCTTGGAGGGCAGATGGACATGTGCAGCAGGTAAGGATACCTTGTCTGTCAGGCTGGGGCAATAAGTATGACCCTGGCCTTGTCCTCTTTGATCTTGCGCAAGACTCTGTGTATCAGTGGGGCTGGTGGGAAAGCGTACATGAGTGTCTTGTTCCACGGAATAAGGGACGCGTCTTTGAGGGACGTGGTCCCAAGTCCCGCCCTGGAGCAGAATAGATGGAATTTGCAGTTTTGTGTTGGAGCAAACAGATCTAAAGATGGGGTGCCCCAGTGGGAGAAGAGCTGTCGCAGTATCGTGGGGTGTAATTCCCATTCGTGTTCTTGTGAGAAGTGTCTGCTGAGTATGTCAGTGGTAGCGTTCTGACACTCAGATAGGTAGGAAGCAGTGATCTCTATGCTATGTTGTATGCACCAATTCCATAGTTGGATGGCTTCTGTGCACAGGGAGTGCGATTGCGCTCCCCCCTCCCCCGTCTGTTGATGTAGAACACGCATGCTATATTGTCTGTCAAGACTCAAATAGATTTGTTCCTTATGATTGGGAGAAAGTGGAGGCAAGCATATCTGACTGCTCTGAGCTCTAGAAGGTTTATGTGTAGACACGTCTCTGACAGGGACCATCTGCCTTGTGATGTGTGATCTCCCAGGTGTGCTCCCCAGCCTATCAGGGAAGCAGCTGTTGTGAGCATGAGCACAGGGGAATTTTGATGGAAGGGGACACCTGTGCATGTTTCCTGTTTTTGTCCACTATTGTAGGGAGACTAATACCTTTGCTGGAGGAGTTAGCATCATGTGGAGGCTGTGCCTGCTGGGTTTGTATATGGAGCTGAGCTAACCCTGAAGGCACCTCATATGTAGTCTGGCATATTTGACCATGAAGGTGGTGGCTGCCATGTGACCAAGAAGCTGCAGGCATGTTCTTGCCTCCACTCTGGGGCAAATGGATAACCTGTGTATGAGGTGTGTGACAGTGAGGAATCTGGTGTGTGGAAGTGAGGCTCTGGTCAAAATTGAGTCCAGATGCGCCCTGATGAACTCAATTTGCTATGTGGGTATCAGGGTGGATTTTTGGAAGTTTATTTGCAGGCCTGGACTGTGGAAAAGGGAGATGGTAAAATGAGTGGCCTCTAATGTCTTTTCGTATGATCGGCCTTTGATAAGGCAGTTGTCTAGGTAGGGGAAAAGTATAATTCTGTGTTTGTGTAGGTGGGCCACCACTACTGTGAGTCTCTCTCTATCACACCAGAGAACACTCTCGGTGCTGTGGAGAGTCCGAACGGTAGCACTCTGTATTGGAAGTGGTCATGCCCTACTGTGAATCGCAGTGTGCTGGGTGAATAGATATATGAAAATAGGCATCCTGTAGGTTGAGGGCTGAGAACCCCTTGTTCCAGCACGGGTATTATTGTGCCCAATGTGACCATCTTGAATTTTTATACGCGTACGAATTTGTTCAGTCCTCGTAGGTCGCCATCCTCTGCCTTTCTTCTGGGTCAGGAAATAGTGAGAGTAAAACCCTTTCCCCCAATGACAGGTTTCAGAGTAGCAGCCGTGTTAGTCTGTATCCGCAAGAAGAACAGGAGTACTTGTGGCACCTTAGAGACTAACAAATTTATTAGAGCATAAGCTTTCGAAGAAAGTGGGTTGTAGCCCACGAAAGCTTATGCTCTAATAAATTTGTTAGTCTCTAAGGTGCCACAAGTACTCCTGTTCTTCTTTCCCCCAATGTTGTGCCAGTACAGGTTCCACTGCACCTAGCTGTAGAAGATGAGTCACCTCTGCTTGACGTAGTTGCTCGTGATGGGGTCCCTGAAGAGGGACGGGGAAGGGTGGGTGGGCATGAAATGAAAGGGATGGAGTAGCCCGATTGTACTATTTCCAGGATCTAGTGGTCCTGTGTTACCAGTTGCCAGACATGGTGGAAAAACTGGAGGCAGTGGCCAAATGGGCAAGTAAGCGGTGATGCCAAGGGATGGTCGCACAGACCCCCGACCAAGGCTTAAAAATTGTTGTTTGTTTCCCGATGTGTGGGATGTAGTTAGTTGCGCTTGGTTTTGTCTGTGCCTGGGAGGTCTGTTGAGGTTCCTCCCATTATCATACGATCTCGACTGGGGCCGGTGATATTGTTGTGCGCTGGGCATCTGATAAGATTGATACCGTTGCCTCCTGGGGAGGGAAGGGTATATCCCAGTGTGTACTGAGTGGCCCTGGGGTCTTTCATGGTGTAAAGGACTTCATCAGTTTTTTTGGAAAAAGTTTATCCTTATCAAAGGGAAGGTCCTCCACTTTGGTTTGCAGGTCTTTAGGGATGCCAGATGAAGACAGCCAGGAAGATCTGTGCATCACTACCGCGTTTGCGGTAGTACGGGCTGCTGTGTCGGCCATGTCCAGGGATGCTTGTAGCGCCATCCTAGACACCAGTTGACCTTCGACGACTGATTTAAAATCTGATCTTCTGTCCTCTGGGATATGGGAGGTAAAGTCAAGTGAGAGGGTGAAGCTGCGTTCCTGGTCGGTTCCAATCTGGTAGGGGAGCGTGAGGGCGAGTGTTTACTTGTGCCCGTCTCCACTGGTGGCTGCAGGGATTTCTCTATAAGAAGCATTTTCAGCCGCAGGTCTCTGTCACAGTGAGCCCTGGCTTTCAGTCCATTGCACTTTCCGGGGACGTGTGTCTCATCTAGACACTTCACTGACAGTGAGTGTCCATCAGACCGAGGCATAGACTCATTGCAGGAGCCGCATTTTTTTGAATCCAGGGGACCCCAGCATATGACTGCCTGGGGCGGAAGTCTCAGTGGGAGACGAACTTGAGAGAAAAAAAATTTCGTTTTTTTGTTTGTTTGTTTTTTAAACTAACGAACAATGAATAACTAGTCTAAAGGAAGGGAAAGAACTGGGATATTTCTACCTAGCTATTTCTTCTTGTTTCCTTCAGTGACCAGGGAAAGAGGTTCAGCACTGCCCCATGTCCCATCTTCAGCCGAGGACAGTTGAGAAGGAACGGAGGGGGTGTGGGACGTGTGTGCACAGACAGACCCTAACAACGCCATGAGACAACAGCTGGGTGCATGCATCCTGACCATGCACTGCTACCGAAGATCTCCGATCAACGGCACCAGGACGCACATCACCTGGAGTGGAGCACCCACAGGGACAGCACTCGAAGAAGAAACATCACCTCTGCCTAACTTGTGGCAGATCATTTTAGTCACCAGCTGGACTCTACATGCACAAAAGGACAGAAAATCACAAAGCTGCCTTCTAAAGGTGTCTATTCACTATTCTCCTCCTTCTCGAGAGGAATACGCTCATGAACACTAGAAGAACAGCTGTTACTTCACATCTAATCTTTGTGAAGTCACTATTAGTCACTGCTTCAAATCCTGCTGTAAAAACACTGGATCTTAGGGATGGAAAATCCTTTGTGGGGCATTCAGTTCTTACTTATGCTAGCAAAAACTCTATAGCCAGCCTTCTCTTCAATGTCCCTGATAAAGGAAACATCAATCTTCTGTGTGGACACAGTGGGATTATTACCCACTGTGATAAACTCAGGACAGACAGCTGCAAGCAGGGGGTAGAAAACAGTCCCAGAAGGTTAAAAGACCCTCCTCCTTATCAACTGAGAAGGGGTTACTAGAGAATCAATTAGGATCAGCTGAGAGGGAGTTACCTGGGGTCAATTAGGAACAGCTGATTCCAACTAAGGGCTGCCTGAGACCTTTTTAAACCCTCCCCTGTTGGGAGAAGAGGGGGAGAAAGAGAAGGAGCCATGCTGCCAGTAGGTTAGGAGCAGCAAGCCTCACCAGGAGGGGAGGCTGCATTCCCTCCCATAAGGGAGAAAAACAAGCCCAAAAGACTGGTGGTGAGAAGGAACGGATTTCCCCTGTGCAACCAAGAGGGCCTGTTTTACCCAAGCCTGTCTCATCAAGGCTAAAAGCAGCGGAGGCTGGTGAGACTGAGAAGGTGCCTTGCCACACCACACTGTGCAGACTGTCATCTGAGAAACAGTTCCCACAGACTCTCCATATGTCCAATGGAATTGCAGTACTTACCAGTCACAAGAAGCCCACTGACTGCTTTCAGCCCTTCTAACTGAGCAAATCACAGTCCAACCTGACTTCCCTTTGGAAATTGCACCAGAGTGGAAGGCAAGTAAAAACTCATTTTCCCCCACAGCAACTTGGATCCCTGCGAACAGTGAGACTGGTCCTGTGTGATGTTACTCACATTATAGGGATTCTGTACGCTCGTTGCAGGTGGTTGAGCATTCATATTCATCCATGTGATCTGTCTCCCATGTTTCCTATTGATGGAGGATGTTCTCTGATGCTGAGGGAGTGGTGCTGAATGGTTCCTGGCCATTACAACAGAACCCAGACTATCTGCAGGAAGAAAGAACATGTGTGTGAAGCATGGCTAGAAAGGGTTAAACATCCTGCAAAATAAATAACCCTCAAAAGACATGTGGGGAGATAATGTTTATGTTTTTACATATGTATGAGTAGGGTCATGTAATCAACAGTCCCTGTCTCTGCTGTATTCTGATCATTCAGAGGTCAAAAGAACATCCTATCATTTAAATGAATTGTAAACATGGGATCGCTCTGTATTCATCTCTCTTTGAAATGTATAGCAAATAATCTGTGAATGGTGGTGGAACAAGCAAATTGCCTTATGTTAATTCTATAGCTAAGTACCCGGTGATGGACCTCCTTCAAAGTCATGCTAATTACCTTCTGAACGCCAACTTGTCAAAAGACATGAAATTGTATAAAAGATCCTTGGGTCCTGATTCTGTTCATCTCATATCTGCTTAGGCTTCATCGGGGAAATTTGAGTTGCAAGACTGAGGTCCCAGTTATGCTGGTACACCCTGAATATGAGATTTGGACATTGGACTATAACCTAGGAACTATTTCTGAAAACTCTTTTCAACTACAAAGCTCACCATCTCTGCTATGAATCTGAATCTTAAGAATTGAACTCATGTCTGTATGTATATTGATCTTTTAACCATACTCTCTTGTTTTTTAATACATTTTAGTTTAGTTAATAAAAATTGGCTGTAGCATGTATTTTGGTAAGATCTGGAATATTCAATAATCTGGGAGGTAATGTGTCTGATCCTTTGGGATTGGTAGAACCTTTTCTTTTATATGATGAAATAAGATTTACAGAAATTTTCATCATATTTGATGTGGATACCTGGATGGAGGCCTGAGGCTGGATCACTTTAAGGGAACTGTGTTGTTTGGATTTCTGAGTAACCAGTAAGGTAATAAAGAAGCTGTTTTATGCTGGCTTGGTAAATCTAAGTATTGGAATATCCACCAGCTTTTTGGGGTTTGTCTGCCCCATTTTTTTGCAGTGCACCCTAATTGAGTGACCATAGCTAGCTCCCCACTAGGACACCAGTCACAACGTGATACAGAGAAAGGAGGGAGAATTAGAGTGAGAAGAATGAAGGATGAAACACAGATGGTAAAGTTAGAGCCAGGTTAGAAAGGATGAAATGGACAACAAAAAAGAACCTCATAGAGAAACAGAAGAGAAGATAGTAAGCAGGGGAGGGAGGGGAAAGAGGTGCATCTCATACCTTCTCTCCTACAGGGAAGGAAAGAGCAAAGGTGGAAGAAGCAAAGGGATGGGAAGAGAAAGGAACAAAAACCCTTGACAAAGTGTTTAGTAATTGGGTGAGCGAAGATTGAGAACTCATCCACTTTGTGGTGGAATGCTGTGATTGACATGAGATGTACTCTGATCACGCTAATGGAGAGACCTAATTTCTTAAGTTCCAGTATATAGTCCAGTACTATTGGTAAAGAAGAGGAAGTCACCATAATTTGTCTATTCTGGCACCATGTATGGAACTTCTTCCATTTGTGCAAGTAGGTATTTCGAGTAGTACATCTTTTGCTGTTTAAAAGAATGTCCCTTACCACCTCAGAACAGATCATTTCATTGTCTCGTAACCGTGGAGTAGCCATGCCTTCAGGTGGAGTCTTGCCAGGTTTGGGTGATGGATCTAGCCTGCATCCTGAGACAGGAGATGTGGTAGAAGGAGAAGAGTGCGTGGTGGGCACACAGCCATCCTCGTGTGGTAAGGAAACCATATTTGCCTGGGCCACATGAGAGCTATCAAGATGACTCTGGAGTTGTTGGTTCTGATCTTGTGTATGACTCTAGATAGAAGAGAGGTTGGGGGAAAGGCATTAGAGGTGCATCCCATTGGAGGAGGAAAGCAGCTCTTAAGCAGAAGTGTGGGCACTTGGCATTTTGGGTTGTCGCAAATAGGCCTATAATGTCTGAATATGCTTTGTAATACTTTGGTGTTCATTTCCCACTCTTGGTCCTAGGAGAATTTTCTGCTCAGGGCATCTGCAGTGGTGTTTTGGCATCCTGGTAGGTAGGAGGCTGAGATGTTGATGTCATGGCTGATGCACCAAGTCCATAGTAGCCTGGCTTTTGTGCAGAGGGAGTGTGACTGTGCCCCTCCTTGTCAGTTTATATAAAACATACAAGTGATGTTGTCTGTCAGAACCATTATGGCCTTGTCCCTGATTGCGGGTAGGAAGTGTGAGCATGCACTGCGGACTGCCTGCAGCTCTAGCAGGTTTATGTGTAGTGTTGATTCTCATGGGGACCAATGGCCTTGGATCACGTGGTTGTGCACGTGTGCCCCACAACCAAGCAGAGAAGCGTCTGTTGTGATTATCATTGATGGAAGGGCCTGTATGAAGGGGACTCCAGTGCAAATGTCGATTGGTTGAATTCACTAATGTAGAGAGTATTTTACTTTGGCTGGCATTGTAAGACATTTGTTTATGCTATGTCTGTGTGGAATATACACTGTCCTGAGCCAGCCTTGCAGGCATCGCATGTGCAGTCTGATGTATTTGATGACAAATGTCATCGCTGACATGTGGCCTAACAGTTGGAAGCAGGTCCTGGCTAATGTCTGTGGGCTGGATTGCTTTGTGTGATTAGATTGAGTAGAGTGATAAAACTGTGTCGGGGCTGTGAGGCTGTAGCCTCTAGAGATTTGAGGTAGGCCCCTACGAACTCCAGTCTCTACACAGGTGTGTGGTGATTTTTGTTCATTTATTTGCAGACCTAGATATGTAAAGAGAGCTACTAGCTTTTGGATAGCTTCCAGTGCCTCTTCTCCAGTTGATGCTTTGAGTAAGCAATTGTCCAGATAGGGGAATATTATGATCCCTTGTCTGTGGAGGTGGACCACTGCCACAACTTTTGAGAATATCCGTGGGGCAGTGGATAATCCGAAAAGGAGTACTTTGTACTGGAAATGAGCTATTCCCAGAACAAACCTCCTGTGTGAGGGATGTATCGTTATGTGGAAATATGCATCCTGGAGGTTGAGAGCTGAGAACCACTCTCCGCTTTCTAGTGCTGGAATTATCATTGCTAACGTGACCATCCTGAATCGTTGGGTTCTCACAAATTTTTTGAGTCTTCTTAAATCGAGAATGAGCCTCCATCCTCCACTTTTTTTCTTGGTTAAAAAATAGTGGGAGTAGAAATCCTTCTGTGTTCTGTTGATATTGGTTCTACTGTGCCTCAGTGTATAAGATGTTTGCGAGAAGGGTCCCTTAAAAGGGACAGGGAGGGAGGGTGGGTAGGGGGGGATGAAGGTAAATTGGATGGAATAGCCAGTCTCGATCTCTAATACTCAATTGTCTGACATGATGGTCTGCCATGCTGGGAGGAATGGGGTCAGACGGTCTCCGGATGGCTGGCTGGCTGTGGATGCTTCCAGCACTTGTAAGTGTGGGAGTTATCTTGGGCCCCTGAGGGAGGTTGTTGAAACGCAGAAGGCTGGGAAGGGAGTGGTCTGTGTCTTGCAGGCCTCTGCCTTTGTAGGTCATATTGCCTCTGAGAGTGTGTATAAGGCACAGATCTATATCTCTGCATCGAATAATACTTCCCCTGTTTTTTCTTGTGTGTGTAGGTGTGCATATGCCCAAGGATCTCAGAGTTGCTCTAGAGTCCTTCAAAGTGTGAAGGAACTCACCTGTTTTGACTGCAAACAGTTTAGGACTTTCGAATGGGAGATCCTCGACAGTTGATTGTACCTCTTTGGGAAAAACAGAGAAGTGGAGCCAGGAAGCTTGTTGCATCATTATGGCCATGGTGATTAAATGTGCCACCATGTTTGCACAGTCCAGTGAAGCTTGTAAAGCTGTGTGAGCTAGGAGCTGACCCTCAGATATAAAAGCTTTAAATTGTTCTTTATTGAACAAATGCCTGAGGACAAAAAAGTCAGACAGATTTGAATAATTTGAGTGGTTGTATTTGGCCATTACTGCTTCATAGTTTGCGATCCTAAACTGTAGAATCGCTGAAGAGTAGGCTTTGCGCCCAAAAAGATCCAACCTCTTCCAGTCTCTGTCATATGGGGTGGATCTGGAATGGTGTTGTCTGCCCCGCTTGTTCTCGGCCTCGACCACTACAGAGTTTGATGTGGGGTGTGACAATAGGAATTCCATCCTGTTGGAAGGGACATAATATTTTTTATCCGCTCCTTTTGCAGGTGTGCGGAATTGTTGCTGGGGTTTGCCAGATGGTCTTGACTGGGTCCATGACAGCCTCATTTATTGGGAGGACAATCTTGGAGGAGGTTGAAGTCTGAAGGATGTCCAGCAACTTGTTAGGACTCCGCCACTTCTTCCAACGGTATCTCCTCGGAATCTGCAATCCTCTTAAACATTTTCTGGAACTATTTCAAGTCATCCTCTATGAGGGTGGTGGAGGCATGATAGCTTCATCTGAGGAAGAGGATGAAAAATTGGCAGTTGGTGCAACTTCCTGATCCCAAGTGTCCTCTAATTCCTTCACTGCCTCTTCTGGAGGTTCAGAGGATCCAGGTACAGAGGGTGAAGCAGAATGCCTTTCCCTTGTCCTAGGTGGACTGGGAACCTTAGGGTAGTGTTGGCATTATGCTGTCCATGGGTCCCAGTAAGGCCACTGTAGTGAAAATGGCATGGGTGTCTATACCAGCCTTGAGTCTTGTGTGGTACCCATAGTGCTCTGGTGGACCTGGTCTGGTAGCTGTGTGGACAGGTGAGGAGTGATGGGAGGAGTGGATTTCCCTTGCATCATCATCATCCTCGCCACTGGATAAAGAAGGAGCTGATCTGGCTGGTGTGGTAAGTTGATTCAGTACCGAGTGTGCTGGAGTGAGGTCAGTACCAAGGAGTGGAGATTCCAGTGCTGAGGCAATCAGAAGATACTTGTGGTGGAGAAATTGCTGTGGTACCAAGAGCATCGGTACTGAGGAAGGTGTTGTCAGCAGTACTGATGCCTTTACTGCAGTTGTTGGTGCAGAGGGTCATGCGCGATGCACTGTAGAGGCAGAAGACGATGCCATAGACTGTAGCACTGCCGAGCTGCTCGATGCCGCATGTTTGAGTGGCACCGGCGGTACTGAGGCAGGGACTGTAAATTTCCATTTAGTGCCTCTTTCCAAGCCGGCCCACTTAGGGTCTTTGGTTCACATGGTACGCACGGTACCAGATGGTCCTGTTACCTCAGAGTTGGATGGTCTTGGTGCGGTCGGCACTGATGGGGTCTGACAAGTCGGGGAACGCTGCTTTTTGGTGGATTCCCAAGGAGGGGAGGTCAGAGCCCACTTCTTCATTGCCTTTTTGGCACAGGACTCCTTCCCCTGAGAGGGTGGAGGGAAACCTCTGTCAGATGCTGCCATGGGAGACAGTTGTCCAGGAGGGGTCTGTGATCCTATATAGGACGTGGGGCACAAGGACTTCTCCATCATGAGAAGTTTTATCTGTATGTCTCTCACCTTCCTGGCATGGGCTTTCAAATTGTGGCAGTGGGAGCACTTCTGAGGAATATGTGTCTCGCCAAGGCAGCGGACACCCTGTAAGTGCCTGTCAGACACCAGGATTGAGGATCGGCAAGCGAGGCAACATTTAAAACCCAGAGAGCTGGTCATGCCCCTCAAAGTAGAATTTCTCCTATGAGGGAGGGTATCCTAATAACTGAAAATTAAATTCCTAAGATAAGAAAAAAACATTAGGAAAAAAATAAACAGGGAAGAGGGGAAGTAAACTAAACTATTAACTAACTATTGGTTAACTAACTAGTATTCTAAAGTTAAAACTAGAGAAAGATAAAGAACAGAGGCATTGCTAAGTGCTTCAGCTCCAGCAGAGGGCGGTAGAGAAGGAACTGAGGGGGGTTGGTTGCACAGTGCTATTAACCACCAGAGGCAGCACAAGATGGGGGCAGCGTATGTGCAACCCAACCAGGCACTGCTACTTAAAATCTCCAACTACAAGCGCTGGGGCGCAGACTCACCTAAAGTGGAGCACCCACAGGGACATTCTGTGAAGAAGAAGGGTGGGATTCTTTGTTTTAAAGTTTTTAATAAGATATGGCCTCCATGCTAGGCTGAAGATAGTTTGTTCTTCTGTAACAGGCTTTGGCAGGTTGGGTCTGAGGCCATGTCTACACTACTGGATAAATTGGCACTGCTGCGATCAGTGCAGCGGTGTCGATTTAGCGGATCTGGTGAAGATACACTAAGTCGATGGCAGAGCACTCTCCCGTCAATGTCTGTCTGTATTCCACCTCCCCGACAGGCGGAAGCTATGTCGATAGGAGAGTGTCTCCCATCAACATAGTGGGGTGTAGACACTGCTGTAAGTCAACCTAAGTTAAGTAACTGAAGTCGACGTAACTTATGTAACTAAACTAGCATAACTTAGACTTACAGCGTTCGTGTAGACCAGCCCAAATAGACAAATCAGGCTTACGGGAATCACTGGCTATCATTACTGTGCTCTGGTTTGGTGATGATAGCTTAGATCTATTAAATATGTATGTAACATTAGCTTGAAATGCCTTCAATTAACTCTGCTGTATTCCCTTTTATTTTGTATTTGTCACCCTCTTTTAATTCTTTTGTAAGAAGATAATTTGTACTGAAAAATTCTGTATATCCTTAATAAAAAATCAGTAACTAACCTTTTACTAAACTATAATAAAAGAGTGCCCATTCAATGTTCCAGGTGCCCTTGCCAGTCTTTAAAAAATATATTAACAGACCGATTAGTTATCCCAGATCAAATCAAATAACCCAGCGACAACATAAGTAACAAAAATTAATTGGTCTGTTCACAATCCTCCCCAGAGTCCTCTATCACGACTACCAGGTCTACCCAACACCCAGCTCCTCATGAGCAATGGTAAAAAGGCAGGCCTTGCGTCATACCCTGAAAGCTAACAAATATGGGCTGTTACAGCCCAAAGGAAGGAGTTCCAAAGACCTAGGAACCCTAAAAAGAATGCCCTTCCAGCTGTTCCTTCTCTTATACTGATGGGGCTTTGATTGCAACCAGGCCATTCTACTGGTATGTGATTTGAGAATGGAAATAGTAGAAAAAAAGGACTTTGGGGAGGAAAGAAATTGGTTTAACAGCCAACAGAATTATCATCTGAGTCTTTACTGATAAGTCTGTGATTCTTGAATGAGTATTTGATGTTCTAAATATTTGAGTATGGAATTTCAACACCCAGCACTTCTCCACAAAAGTGCCAGTATAAATCATTCCCAGAAGGGAAAATTAACACACACACACACACACCCCGATTGGAAATTCATTTGTCTTGATATTCTCTATGCACTGTCTTCTTGGTGCAACTTCCCTTCCCCCTTTACAGTCACCATCTCATGTTGCTCCTGTAAATTTCACTTGTTTCTATCTCCATCCTTAATCCACTACCTACTCTTCTCTCCCTGTCCTTAGCTATTATGTGCAACACATTCTAATTCAGGAGGTTGGTACGTACTCTGAACAGTGGTGTGCGTTATGGGGTTGTAAAGCATGTTGATTTTAGGTCTCTGGCAGAGAGTTCCTGCTAAATCCTCTCTCTGGCTGGAAACTTCACCAAGTATTGTAGGCCCTGCAGGCACATGTGAGCTTTTCATAAGAGTGGGTCTTGGCTCTTTCTGATCCCTGATGGTAGAATAAGGCACAGAGCTGGTGTTTGGAAGAGATGGTTTGAACTGAGATGGACTTGGTTGAAGATTCTCTCTCTGGATTTGTTTCTGTTGACGGTTATTTGCCTTTCTTTCCAGAATCATCTGCAGGAACAAGACGCTGGTTAGATTTAAAACCTATAAACATGATTAAGAACATAAAGATGGCCACATTCGGTCAGACGAATGGTCCATCTACCCCAGTAGCTTGTCTTCCAAAGTGGCCGGTGCCACATACTTCAGAGGGACTGAACAGAACAGGGCACTTTATTGAGTGATCCATCCCGTCATTCAGTTCCCGCTTCTGGAAGTCAGAGGTTTAGGGACACCCAGAACATGAGGTTCCATCCCTGATCATCTTGGTTAATAGCAATTCATGGACCTATCCTCCATGAACTAATCTAGTTCTTTTTTGAACCCTGTTATAGTCTTGACCTTCACAACATCCTCTGGCACAGAATTCCATAGGTTGACTGTGCATTGTATAAAGCAGTATTTCCTTATGCTTCTTTTAAACCTGCTGCCTATTAATTTCATTTGGTGACCCCTGCTTTGTGTTTCATTTGAAGGGATAAATAACACTTTCACTTTCTCCACACCATTCATGATTTTATAGACCTCTATCATAACCTCCCCCCCCCCCAGTTATCTCTTTTCTAAGCTGAACAGTCCCAGTCATAAGAACAGCCATACTGGGGCAGACCAAAGGTCCATCTAGCCCAGTATCCTGTCTTCCGACAGTGGCCAATTGCCAGGTGCCCCAGAGGGAATGAACAGAACAGGTAAACATCAAGTGATCCATTCCCCGTCGCTCATTCCCAGCTTCTGGCAAACAGAGGCTAGGGACACCATCCCTACCCATCCCGGCTAATAGCCATTGATGGACCTATCCTCCATGAACATATCTAGTTCTTTTTTGAACCCTGTTATAGTCTTGGCCTTCACAACATCCTCTGGCAAGGAGTTCCACAGGTTGACTGTGTGTTGTGTGAAGAAATACTTCCTTTTGTCTGTTTAAAACCTGCTGCCCATTAATTTCATTTGGTGACCCCTAGTTCTTTTGTTATGACAGTGGTCTCCAACCTTTTTACGCACAAGATCACTTTTTGAATTTAAGATCAACCCAGGGTCTACCCTCCCCCTTCCCTGAGGCTCCACCCCTTCCCCAAGGCCCCACCCTGCTCACTCCATTCCCCCCCTCTCGGTCACTTGCTCTTCCCACCCTCACTCACTTTCACCGGGCTGGGGTAGGGGGTTGGGGAGCAGGAGGGGGTGCAGGCTCTGGGCTGGGGCCAAGGGGTTCAGAGTATGGGAGGGGGATCCAGGCTGAGCCTAGAGCAGGGGGTTGGGGTGCAGGAGTGAGGGGTGCAAGCTCTGGGAGGGAGTTTCGGTGCAGGGGGTCATATGGTCACACTGCACCTAATCTCATAGAATCCACTGGACAGTTCAAGAATTTTACCTTTTATTAGTGTCATTTTTGGTTTATATATCCAAAATCCTTTAGGGATTGTCACAAATCAGTCTAACATTCTCAACTGTGGGGTGTGCATTGGTTGAGCCTGGGGCAGAGTGTTAGGGTACAGGTGAGGGGTGTAGGCTCTGGGAGGGAGTTTGGTGCAGGAGGGGGCTCTGGCTGGTGCAGGGGATTGGGGTGCAGGAGAGGGTCAGGGGTGTGAGCTCTGGGAGGGAGTTTGGTGCAGGAGGGGGCTCCGGCTGTTGGAGATACTTGCTGCAAGTAGTCGCAGATCAGCTACATACCATTGTAGGCAGGCTCATCATACTATCCCCTCCATAATCTTATCAAGCTGTCTTGAAGCCAGTTAGGTTTTTGCCCCCATAGCTCTCCTTGGAAGGCTGTTCCAGAACTTCACTCCTCTGATGGCTAAAAACTTTCATCTAATTTCAAGCCTAAACTTGTTGATGGCCAGTTTATATCCATTTATTCTTGTGCCCATGTTGGTGCTTAACTTAAATAACTCCTCTCCCTCCCTGGTCTTTATCCTTCTGATGTATTTATAGAGAGCAATCATATCTCCCCTCAGCCTTCTTTTGGTTAGGTTAAACAAGCCAAGCTCTTTGAGTCTCCTCTCATAAGTCATGGTTTTTCCATTCCTCTTATCATCCTAGTGTAGTAAGAAGAGGGCCTGAAACACCTAGTAGCCCTTCTCTGCAGCTGTTCCAGTTTGAATTTATCTTTCTTAAACATGGGAGACCAGAATTGCACACTGTATTCCAGATAAGGTCTCACCAGTGCCTTATATAACAGTACTAACACTTCCCTGTCTCTACTCAAAATACCTTGCCTGATGCATTCTAGGTCTGCATTAGCCTTTTTCATAGTCGCATGACATTGGCAGCTCATAATCATCTTGTGATCAACCAATATACCCAGGTATTTCTCCTCCTCTGTCACTTCCAACTGATAAGTCCCCAGCTTATAGCAAAAATTCTTGTTGATCATGTTACATGCATGAACTTTTTGGCTGTCTCTGCATATTGAGCAGATTTTTTCGAGAAGTATCCATAATGATTCCAAGATCTCTTTCCTGAGTGGTAACAGGTAATTTATACCCCCTCATTTTGTATATATAGCTGGGATTATGTTTTCCAATGTGCATTACTTTGCATTTATCAACACTAAATTTCATCTGTCACTGTGTTGCCCAGTCACACAGTATTGTGAGATCCCTTTGTAATTCTTCACAATCAGCTTTGGACTTAACTATCTTGAGTAATTTAATATCATCTGCAAACTTGGCCCCTCACTGTTTACCCCTTTTTCCAGATCATTTACAAATATGTTGAACAGCATCCATCCCAGTACAGATCCTTTGCGACCCCACTATTTACCTCTCCACCATGAAAACTGACCATTTATTCCTACCCTTTGATTCCTATCTTTTCATCATTTACTGTCCATGAGAGGACCTTCCCTCTTTCCTGTAACTCCTTACTTTGCTTAAGAGCCTTTGGTGAGGAACCTTGTCAAAGGCTTTCTGAAAGTCCAAGTACACTATATCCACTGGATCAACCATGTCCACGTTTCTTGACCCCCTCAAAGGATTCTTATAGATTGATGAAGCATGATTTCTCTTTACAAAAGCCGTGTTAACTCTTCCCCAACATACTCTGTTCATCCATGTGTCTGATAATTCTGTTCTTTACTACAGTTTCAACCAATTTGCCTGATACAAAAGTTAGGCTTACCAACCTATAGTTGCCCAGATGGCCTCTGGTGCCTTTTTAAAAAATTGGCATTACATTAATTATCAACCAATAATCTGCTATAGATGCTGATTTAAGTCATAGGTTACACACCACAGTTAGTAGTTCTGCAGTTTCATATTTGAGTTTCTTCAGAACTCTTGGGTGCATACCATCTGGTCCCAGTCATTTATTACTGTTTATTTTATCAACATGTTCCAAAACCTCCTCTACAGACTGTGACGGTACCTCCCATAAGGCTTTATGGGAATATGACATAACTGGAATATGTTTTGTGCTGCCTGTGCCATGTAACATCTCTGTAAAGGTTATGGTCTACTATATCTATTCATCCTATTTGTACACATATATCATTTTGTACTTGAGGTTAAGAATATTGGCTGTATACTTGCTTGATTTCTAAGTAAGCTTTGTAAGGCATTTGGTCAGCTTCTTTAGGAAGGAATTCGCAAAGTTAATTACCCGATCAGAATGCACTTGGGGAACAATGCATCTTGGAATGCTCCAATCCACATAAGAAGTCTTCCTGGAGACATACAAGATACCATGTGGACAATGGCTTCTGCCTGTAAAGACTGTGAGTCATGCATGGACATGTGACTTGCTCCAAAACTCCATCTTGGAGCTGGATTTTGCATAGGAGGGACTCTCCACCCACAAGAGAAAGTCTATTTAAACCCCTGGGAGACCCCTCCATAGGGTCTTCAGCTGGCTAAAGAGGGAGCCTCTCCACCCCCCCAGGATACTTGAAAGAAACTGGAACAAAGGACAGTAACAACAGGGGATGTGAGTGATTGCTGGACCCAGGCTAAAAGGAGATTAGTCTGTAAAAGGGAGCATTCTGGAACTGGTGAGGATCTTATCTGTATTCAGTTTGATTAAACATAGATTTGCGCATTTTATTTGATTTTGCTTGGTGACTTACTTTGTTCTGTCTGTTACTATTTGGAACCACTCAAATCCTACTTTCTGTATTTAATAAAATCACTTTTTACTTATTAATTAACTCAGAGTATGTATTAATACCTGGGGGCGCAAACAACTGTGCATATCTCTCTATCAGTGTTACAGAGGGTGAACAATTTATGAGTTTACCCTGTATAAGCTTTATACAGGGTAAAACGGATTTATTTGGGTTTAGACTCCATTGGGAGTTGGGCATTTGAGTGTTAAAGACAGGAACACTTCTGTTAGCTGCTTTCAGGTAAACCTGCAGCTTTGGGGCAAGTAATTCAGACCCTGGGTCTGTGTTGGAGCAGACGGGGTGTTGGGGTCCCGAGCTAGCAGGGAAAGCAGGGGGCAGAAGTAGTCTTGGCGCATCGGGTGGGTTTCTGTGATCCAACCCGTCACACAGACACCTCATCGTACAACAGTTCCTCAGATTTGTCACCTAAAAAAAATGGTTGAGGTTTAGGAATCTCCCTCACACCCTCTGCAGCGAAGACTGCTGCAAAGAATTCATTTAGCTTCTCAGCACGGGCCTTGTCTCCTTTAAGTTTTTCTTTAGGACTTTGATTCTCCTAGTGGCCCCACTGACTATTTTGGCAGGCTTCATGCTTCTGATGTACTTGAGTTTGAGCCTCTATTATGAGGAATTTTAAAAGTTTCCATGCATCTTGCAGGCATTTCTCCATTTAACTAGCCTCCTCATTTTTGTGTAGCTTCCCTTTTTAAGTTAAATACTATTGTGGTGCATTTCACTGGTATTCTCCCTCCTCCAAGGATGTTGTTACATTTAATTACTTTTTGGTGGCTATTATCTAGTGGTTCAGCTGTATTCACCACTTGGACCAGATTGTGTGAGCCCCTTAGAACTAAATAGACTCATAGACTCATAGACTTTAAGGTCAGAAGGGACCAATATGGTCATCTAGTCTGAC